TCTAGACAATCGAAAGGGTAAGATGTAGCCATGGAGAAAATTGGAGCGGATGCGAGCCATGCGTGATAGGAAAACGGGAGAAACGATCATGGGATGAAAGTGTTTAATGTTAAACAAGGTTTTTAGTTTTCATTTTTATTGTTTTGGAACTTTGTTTTATGGTGGTTTTGATTTGAAGAATACTTAAGATCTTCTTTTATTTTATTTTACGGTATGGATTTTTATAAATGAGTTGAACCTAAAGATTATTTTTCATTGATGAGGTTTAAACTTTTTAAAGTTATAATATAAAAAAATCTAGGTTTTTCTTTAAGTCATTCAAAGTAAAGTATTTTAAGCTTAACTATTTTTCCGCATTCTTTAAGAGGTAAATGTTTAAAAGTTAAAATAACTGTGACGGCCCGTGAGGGGTCGTTATACCGCCGGCCTAAAGTTCTAACACTAATCTATATACATTTCTTATCACTAATTAGCTTTGGCTTTAGCATTAATAACACCATTTAACAATCTCATATATGATTATTGTTGTAAGGAAAAATCCTCCTTACCACGTCGAACAATAAATAGACGCCACATGGCCTCTGCCATGCCACGTCAGATAGGCGCAGACGGCGAAGGATTAACTTTCAAAGATAAGTGCCGTTGGCGATGAGAGAAGGGTCAATCACCCCAAAACCTTCGTCAATAATCCTCGAATAATGGCTTAAGAACAACAAGTTTGTAATGAGCAATATCCACGATGACGGTCGATTGATCAGACAGTCGAATCGAGGATGGTTCTGAAGCTCCATAGACCGCCGATGGTATGCAAAGATCGACAAGGACGAAGGCTATATCTTAACTTATCGCTCAGGCCCAGCGAAAGCGGAGAGGGTAGAGCGTTCAATCATCTGACTCAGATCCTAAGAGTATCCCGTAAGGTGACATGAGGGAAATCCCTAGATTAGTTGTGGGCGCGGACAAAGTCAATGGCAGAGAAAATGATTACCAGCCTATTAGTCGCCTAAAACAGACCAATGGAAAATCACGAGAGATCCACCGAGATGAACAGTCTGAAAAGGTACCGAATAGCTGTAGTCTAGTTGAGTAAGATGATATGCTACTCGAAAGAGACTGCTGGGTAACTATTTTTCTTGGTTTTCTCAAAGTGTAATCTGTGAGATATAAAAGGGACAAGGCCCTAGAGAGAAATGATGATGTTCAGTTGAGAGAGCAAAGCCTCTGTAATCAAAGAACAAAGAAAAATAGTGAGAACTTTCTCAAAGTAGACGTAGCTCTTTCATTGAGAGTGAACCACTATAATTCCTAGTGTTTCTTTTATCTATTTGTGTTTTCATTCATATTCTAAGTATCCTTAGACTCCACACACAACCAGTTGCACTTTTCTAATTGAGATTAACCGGACATCACGTAGCCATTAACGCGCGTTTTGGCCAATAATCCAGCCAGTTTAGTAACGATAACCTGGTGCATTCTTGTTGATGAAATTTCACCATCAACAATTATATTCCAACAAAAGCCGGGCCGTATACAATTTTAATCATGATGATATGATCCATCTCATCTGATCAATCAGCTAAAAAATGAGTACATAAAATAATGAGCTAGCTGCAAGCTGGGGACAAGAACAACAAATTAACAAAAACCAATTGTATTAATTTGCATATTTACATTTATATTTATTTGTGTATATGTTCTCTTCTCAAAGTCCTATATATGCTCAATTTTTCCCCAAGTCAATATATATAACATATGTATTATGTATATACAAAAGGAGAAGAATATATGCCATACACGATATATAATTATATATACATGCGTGGAAAAGAATGGAAGGGGAGTGGAATATATATGTGTGTGTGCAAAATTCATAAGAATACCACGCGCGCATGATCCTTGGATCGATAGCTTGAGGTGTTAGTGTTCGTTCAAAATCAATTAATCAGAATATATGCCTCTCCCTAATTGAAGTAATATTGAAATATGGAAGGGATCCCATATTTGTTCTTTCTTTAAGGGAAGAAAAAGAAAGAAAGAAGTTTATATGTATACATATATATATATATATATACATATACATATTAAGGGGTTTGGTTTATATTGAAAGGAGAGTAGTATACCGACAGTTTTTTTGGCATTTTAAATGTGGTTGGTAATAACCGGTTAACGAGGGGCATCAGATCTCCATATAAACAACGGATCGTTTTGCATTGAGGAAGCGTGTAATGATATTATTAGTTTTGAGTAGCACACGTTGTCTTTTTATCTCACCACCGTGGCTTTAGGGAAAATACCAAGAAATGAAATGCGACAGCGTCATGCCTTAGCTCATCACCTAGCTAGCTCGTCCAGTACTATGCAACTAAGGATTGTTTATAACGTTTTTAAAATGATTTTAATTTTAATATAAAAATAAAAATAAAATTATTTTAAGAATTATTTTAAAATAGATTTTAAAATTATATTTAGTTGATTTTTTAAGATATTATTTTAAGTATAATAAAAAAATAAAATCGTGTTTAGTTATAATTATTAATTAATATATTATAACATTATTAATAAGTATTAAGAAATGAAAACAGAAAATGAAAAATAACTTTTAAGCGTTTTTTAATTCCTTCAAAAAAAACATTCTCACTGTTTTTTATTTTCGTTTTCGATTTCAAAATATTTGCTAGACAATCACGGTTTGAAGACCGTTTTTATTTTTGTACCTCAAAAGGTGTGCAAAAACGTTTTCAAAAACAAACAAAAATCAATTTCAAACGCACCATAAACTATCAAGAAACGTGTCTTTGTCTTTTACTTTTTAGCAATATTAATTAATTAATTAATTAATCAATTAATGGCTTCTTTCTTTTTTTACACATAGATAATGCCGGTATACGCATTTGTTTATTTGTATAACATAATACAGGGTCTCAAGATGATGTGTACATAATTCTTGTTTAATTTGTCGAATATTCCTGTTTTAATCATCTGCTCTACTCTACTCTACTCTACTCTTTAAAGTTTGTAATTAATCCAACATTGGTCAGTCATTTCTATATATGCTTTTGTTTTAATTTGACTTATATATATATATATATATGTTGGAGTTTATATTATATCTCTATCTCAACACATCTTAATTATATCAAAGTTTCCATCATTGCTGACAAAACAATAGCATAAAAAAAACAAAAAAAACAAATGCACAAGGTTTGGTGGCCCGTCTAGGGCTAATAATATCGATAATCAAATATCAGATAATTCAACATATATATATATATATAGTTATCGAGTACTATATATACTAATCGAAAGTTTCCGCAATAAATTTAACGGTGTAGAATATCTTCCTACTTTATATGGATGTAATGTAGTAATATACACATATTCTAAACATTTTTTTGGTTGAAGGAGGCATAATATATAATATTAAAAGCACAAAAGTGCTAGAGTAACAAACAGAGGGCAAAACTCATAAAAAATATAACGATTAGAAAGTAATCGGAAAAGCCATTGAACAGTCAGACGGCCAACCCCTATATAGTTATTGTTTTACGCTCATCATGATGAGCCTGAGTGTTGAGCATGAAGCTAACAAAAGATACACATTATATATATATATATATATATATGTATCTTAACCTGCTCATGCTCCTGTAATCTTGCTTTTACACAAGTTGAAGTTGTAGAAGGTAGCCCAAGTACAATTGCCCGCTTAATCATGAAAAACACAGCCAAATTAAGTTGTTAAGATATTTTTGTCTCATGCATAATGGTGATGACTAGTTGACCTGAGTGGTGGGAAGGAAAAGTAGTGATATTGATTGATTTCTAATCCTAAAAACCCCCAAATGAAATGCCCAATTGTCCTACTGCAACTACAAGTGACAAGGCCAAAAAGCTTTTGACAAATGACAAGCGAAGATATATGGTTCACTCACTACTATTTCTTCTTCTTTTGGCCTCACCAGTCTCTCTCACCGCATAAGTCATAACATTCCCTTTCCAAACGTCCTTTCTTCCTCCATCCATCAGCCTTATTAGGACCCATGAACAGTCAGGATAAACAATTACAAAAAAAAAAAATAATAATAAATAAAAAAAAATAATAATAATAATTTAAAATTCCCGGTCCAAAGAAGCACCACACCAAAGCAGAGGCAGAGCAGTTGTCTGGTTTATTATTGTAGTTTTGGTAGTTAACAAAACAACATGATAACGTTTTAAAGGCGGAGGTAATAAGGGTTGACGCATTGTTCTTCTAAAGCTAATAGTAGTAGTTAGTAGTAGTAGGCAGCGTCTCCTGCTGTACTGCTCCAAAGCGTGAAAAGTATTAGATGCCCTACCAATTAGCATAGCAACACTCAAACACCAAAAGAAAAGGAAATTTAACACTACTCGTTGTATCATCACAATCCACAAGATGCCTTAGCTTTATATATCTCTATATCTATACCTTAGTAAGGTATATTCACACATATTATATAGAAAGCGAGGATTGCCCCAAAAAAAAGATTGATGCGAGCCTCAAGTAAAAATGCAAAGGGGAAACACATGGCCTAAAAGATTAATCTGAAAGATGCGATTACCTTTTTGATGTTCGGTTGGTGACTCTGTGTGAGCCTCACCCCTCGGCTCAGCTCCCAAATGATATGAAATGATATGATATGATTCCCAAAACAAAAAAAAAATACACTTTTTTCTCCATATTTCACTGGAGACCAAAGGAGGGGAGAGGATCAGTCAAGCAGAATAGAATAAATTTCTCTTAAATAAAATAATTGGCAAAGTTAGTTGCTTAAAGCAATTGATGTGATTTGAAGAATTTAATCTTTCTTTCTCCCCACTTATTCTGGACCACCCTTTGTATTTAATTTAATCTCGGAACACCAACCTACACATGTCTCTCTCATCATATCTCTGCTCTTCTTCCTTCCTTCCCTTTCCTGTTGTCCTCCTATACACACAGAGAGAGAGAGAGAGAGTGCTGTTCTTCCTCCATTACCATAATGGCCAGAGGTGGTGAAGAATGGAAGCCATTTATGGCAATGGTAGGAGTCGACCTTGCCTTCGCAGTCGTGAACATTCTTCTCAAGAAAGTGCTCGACGAGGGAATGGACCATTTGGTTCTTGTAACCTACCGCCTCTCCATTTCAGCCATTTTCTTAGCCCCAATCGCCTACTTTTGGGAAAGGTACTCCCTTCACTCTTGCCATTTTGTGCCTGCGTCACTTTTACCTCTTTCCGTTTTTGGAATGCATCACTACTCTGGAATTGGATGCACAAGCTAAACGACTTTAGGATTCATGCTTCAAACTCAGAACAGAACTACCTGGTACCCAAGTTCTGTGACAGTGACTCAATTAGCTCACAAGGAAATATGTTAAAAAGCTCGCTTGCTTGCATTGCAGGGATAGCAGACCAAGGCTCACACTTCGCATCTTATGCTATCTCTTCCTCAGTGCCATTATTGGGTTAGTCACGTTATTTGAATACTAATCTAATATACGCAGGTTCTTTTTCTATTGAAAAAAGAAAAGTAAAGGGCTTCTGTCATATGGTGCTTGCTTTTGTTGGTTTTGTTTTCATTTGTTGCAGGGCATCTCTAACACAATACCTGTTCCTCCTGGGGATTCAATACACATCGGCCACTTTCTCATGCGCCTTCATCAACATGGTGCCCGTCCTCACGTTTCTAATGGCTTTACCGTTCGGGTACACCCATTTCCGTGATTATTAGCAGCTCTTCTTCTTCCATTGCAAGGCTGTTTGTTTAACATTCTCTCCGCGTCTTTTCTTTGGCAGAATAGAGGCAGTGAACTTGAAATGCAACAGTGGGCGAGCCAAAGTCATAGGAACACTCGTCTGCATAGGTGGCGGTGCTTTATTGACGCTTTACAAAGGACCATCTCTATTTGAAAATTCCCATGTCACTAATCGCATGATGGACAGCACTATTGGCATAAGCTCTGCCAAGAAAGCTGAGAGATGGACCATTGGTACAATAGCTCTGGTCATAGGAACACTCTCCTGGTCTTCCTGGTTTCTTCTGCAATCAAGCATAGGCAAGAGGTACCCCTGCCAGTATTCCAGCACGGCCATCATGTCCTTCTTTGGTGCCATTCAGTCCGCCATCTTGAGTTTTTCGACGGGCAGCCACTTCTCTGTGTGGATTCTACGAGGGTGGATACAAGTAGCAACGGTTATGTTTGCTGTAAGTATACAAAAACTTTGGCTTTTTTATTTTTATTATGAAGCTAAATACTAGGAAAAGTAATAAGTAATGGACGGGATTTGGCATGGCATTTGAACTTCAAATCCAGGGGATGGTAGGATCAGGGTTGGGGTACGTGACAATGTCATGGTGCGTAAAGAAAAGGGGTCCAGTCTTCACGGCCGCCTTTAGCCCTCTAGTTCAGATTATGGCAGCCATGATAGATATCCCCGTTTTGCATGAGCGCTTCTATCTTGGAAGGTCATTTTTTTCTTCACTTTCATAATCTCATTTTGCACGCTTCATTCAATTGATTATCACTGCATACCTTTTTCTACTTGTGACCTCACTATTACGCTGCTATTAATCCAGCAGTCTGTTAGGATCCATCGCTGTGATCATTGGCCTCTACATCCTTCTTTGGGGTAAGAAGAAAGAAATGCAGAATTTTGCGACCAAACTGGCTCAAGAAGCTGAAGAGAACAAGACGCAGGAGCCACATTTGCAGGTCATTACAGTCTCCAGCGATTCACATCCTTCTTGAGGCCAAAGTCGCATAGCATTGCGTGATCTTTCCTCAATTCAGAAGAAATGCTTATTCCGCCTAATTGATTTCCTAACTAGTCTCCTGCTAGAACGTCAATACAAGAATCAACTCAAAAAATTCAACCTCTTTCCTTTCAGAATAAAACATGCTTACCTTGTCTGCATCTGAAACTGTAGATACTCCTCCAGTATTCTTTGAGATGGTCATACTAATGAGGTTTGCTTAACTTCTGAAATCAAACGCAAATCAATAAGATACTTGATAAGATGAATTCGTCCTTGCCATTTGCTCGTGAACGGGGACCAAAGCAATATACTCATATACAATGGCAGACAAATTGTTATAGCACTAGAGCAAACTCAATTAATTGACCCAAAGATTATTCACCTAATCTGGTTTACCCATCAAACTAGGTTGGCTGTGGCATACTTACCCTCAGAGTCTCAAATGAAACGTAAGATATCAAATACAGAAAAAAGAACACACAATTAAATTAGATTTCATTTGTTTGACTTACAAGCACCAAGATGAGTTTCTTCCATCCTACACACCTATTTATCTAGTTTTTTAAAAAAAAAAAAAAAAAAACTACTTATGGACAATTGCAGCTCGGTAAAAGTCCTTCTCCTTTACAAGGTCCAATTCTGTTGTTCAGCAACTAAATCAAAAGCAATAAACCGCTTTCAAATGTCGAGCTTGTATAAAATTTTGAGCTCGTATAGAGGATTGCAAAACTAAACGTGCAACCGACAAGTCACTACCATGTCCAATCAATCTATAGATAATTTTCTAACAACCACCATTCCACGATCCCTTATGCAGAGCCAAAAAAGAATAATCTCCTGACCGTCTCTTTTAGAAACCCCATGACACTTTTTTGGCATCATCAACCACTTCTCACCTTGACTTCATCTTCACTATACTTGTTTTGAGATTTCTTTGTCAAGTCCATTGCAATGTGTTCTGAGTTATCTGCACGATCACTGTCCTCCAAATCCCTAAATGGTTTCTCGCAGATACAAGAGTGTGGATATTCATGAAATTCACCCCGCCCAGGTCGCATATCGTCTGGTTCACCCATGAATCCTCTCTGGCATGATTTTACCTTTTTCGAGAAAGTATCCCAATCCATCTGATCCCTAGCCATGAATAAAGCACTAAGCCTCTTTGCATTAGGCCTGATGGTCCTCTTATGACCCATATACCTCCTGTGAAAAAAAAAAAAAAAAAAAAAAAAAAAAATCAATGCAGAAAGAGTGCTCTCTCCAACAAAAAGGAAACAAGCAAATAGAATAAAATGCTTACCTTCGACCTGCCAGAATTTTGGCCATGTTTCCATTATTATTAGTGACAAATACATCACTTTCATCACAGACAATGTAGTCAATGGCAGCTAGTCGTGAAGAATATGGAAGAAATGGTTTAAGCTCTTCATTTGCAAGCATTTCCTTAGTGTAAAAGTTCGGAAAGAGTTCCCTTAGAGGGCGTAAAGTTTCTTCCCCGCCATATATTTCACCAGAAGCAACATAGAGAAATGTGTCATTTGCAAAACCAAGAGCTCGCAGCATCAAACCCACTTCATGAGGGGTGAGTGGACATTTTCCTCGTTTTCGCTCTCCATCAGGGCTTAAATCCTGTATAAACAACGATGATGGAATTAATTTGTGATACAGAAGATAGAGCGAATCTAACCTTCTTATAGGCACGGTATCTTTCATACCTAAATACTACCACAAAACCAATATCCAATGTAAGATATGAACCATACACGTCACATCTGAGGATTCATTATCAGTTCCCACTGTTCGTTGAACAAGAAAATTAAGGTCGCCAATAAAAATAGAAAAAAAAAAAAAAAAAAAAAAAAAAAAGGGCCCCCAAAAAAAAAAAAAAAAAAAAAAAAAAAAAAAAAGAACAACAGGGTAGTGACTCACGGGTAATGTGGCCCAGCGTTTTCTTATTTCTCCAAGTTCGTATCTCTCTTTTTCGCCCCCGCCATAATAACACCCAGAAAACGCAAGCATATCGGGTTCAAACCTGTTTGTAGAAAAGAGTCTGTGTCATTCACACGGAATTGGAAATTCATCGATCAATATTCATGCTTGTCTGCACCTATTTACATACAGACGTAACACACCTTTCCAAGAAATATGAATTAACAACTAACCTTAAGTGAACCGCAATGAAACGAGTGGCCATCTTTCGCATTCTCAGGACAAGTTTGTGACCACGCTCTTGTATAGGTTTTGTAAATCTTAAAGCATGGTAATTAACGCGACAACGCAACTTCTGCAGGTCTTCGTCAAGGTCATTTGCAAGTCTGTAATCAAACTTTGTCAACTGCAAAACCTGCACAGATCGTATATGTTAATTGTCGTATCCATCATCACAAAGAAAAGAAAAGAAAAGATGGGTGAGTAGGCTTACACGTCTCCTGGAGAGTATTGGCAGGACTTGATCAAGATAGTAATCAGGGGCTGATTTCCTGGGAACGCGCATGGTATAGGGAGGTTTATCCATGGAACGCATGACTTTGTCGGGGACTCGCTTGACGATGGTGATGTCCTTTGCGAGGGAAGAAATGAACCAATTGACATCAAAAATGTCAACAAAGTTGCTGCGTAGATTAGTGCAGGGATCACTATCAGGATGCTTAGAAGTAGGCAACTAGTAGTAATAACAGTGCGTGTGTTAATAATGTTTGTAAATAAATAGAAAGGAAGAAAGAAAGAAAGAGATTGTTTGTAACCTGTCGTCCTTCCAAAAGGAATGATGATCTAATTCAGGCACAACTAATGTAGCGTTAAGAATTCGAGCAACGACTACAGCATCAGTTATCTGAGATGATTGAAAAGAAATGAAACTAGCATTAGCAATTATATATAATAGCATCAATAGTTAGTTAGTAATTAATTGTTAAAGGGAAGGGAAAGCAAAATGTAGAGATGGGATGAGATTACTCCAGTTCGTTGTTGGTTGAGGCCTCCACTAGTCGCAATCAGTAAGTAGCCATTGGAGAATCGCTCGCGGGTAGCCGCTGTTAATTTTTTACATTCATACATACATACATACATACATAAATCATAATAATTGATACATAAAAATCAAAAGCAAGTAAGTATCTTTTGTTGTTGTTGTTAAAATTTATTTCCACACAGAGATTGGAGTTCAGTATAGTATATACCATGCTTATTATATACTAATAATACAATACTCACGAGGAAAATGAGGGCTTTTCTGACTGCAAGCGTAGAAATGGTTGGAGTATTTGGACTTCCAAATATCAATGGGGGAAGGACGATCTCCGAAATGCTGCAAAGTAAATCAAAATCAAAATTTATCTCAAAACAAAAAAACAAAAAAACAAAGTAGTTGCAAGTAAAAAGTATCAACAGACTGACCAGTTTGGAGTAGAGAGAGGAGCGGTTGACGACGAAGGGATGATGAGAATACCAGTATTCGAGATGAGAAGCAATGTGACCGGTGAAGAGCGAGACCAAACCCAACACGAACAGCATTACTCCGCACCCAACCCTCCACGACCACAGCTGCTTCCCATTCACGCTTACCATCACTGCTCCCAATCCCAATCCCATCCTCATTTCATCATTCGTCAATATTCATCCCCAAAATCTCACAAATTCCATTTATTCCCATCCCAATCTGATCTCTCTTCTCTCTCTTGTTTTGGAAATTTCTGCGCTTTTTTTTTTCTCTTCTGTTTTCTTTGCTTCCAATTTGGGATTTCGATCCAATACTCACCACACTCTACTCTCTGCGCCACTGCCGAGGTTTTGAGACGACACACACACGCACACAACAGATCCTACGAAGAAATGAGACATTATTATTATTATTATTATTGCAAGGAAAGAGACACTCCCACCGAATCAAATCCTTCTTCTTCTTCTTCTTCTTCTTCTTCTTCTTCTCTTTTTTTCATTTTATTTTATTTTATTTGTTATTATCTATTATATCTTCTTCAATTATTTCTACTTTTTCCTTTTACCACTTTGTTTCCTTTATTATTATGTAAATGCATCAATAATTAAACTCTTTTCATTTCAACCTTCCTCCTCATTCATTCACTCTACACAAATTACATTCGCTTACCCTTGTTTATTACATTATTTATTATTATTTAATTAATTAATCAATAAACACCAAAATGAATTAAAAAAACAAAAACAAAACAAAACACAGATGCTTTTTCCTGGTTTTAAGGAGGAGTTGACTGTAACAATACTCAAATAAAAGAAGAAAAAGCACTACCAATACAACAAAAAAAAAAAGAAAAAAAAATGTATAGCTTAGCTTTGTAGGTAACAATGACGACAAATTTTAAATAAATATTCTGATCCAACTTTTAGCACCGTACTAACAAATACTTTTATAATAAATATTCCTTCTTTGATTATTAAGATCAACGAAATTTTTTTTCAAGAAAATACGCATAAAAGTATATAAATGAAACGCCAGGAGAAATGGTTGAGCACTGAGAGTGAGAGAAGGAACGAACAGCGGGAGAGGCGGCTCGAAGTTTTTTCTAGCCTCCTCTGGAAAAATTTCTTTCAGTTTCTGCTCTTTTTGTCGTCCAATATAGATCAGTTCTAATATGGTTTTCCGGCGATTTTTCTGGTATAAAATTCAAGAATTAATTATCATTATAAGCTATATTTTTTTTAATTAATTTTTTGCGTTAAATATAGCTAGGATGCATATTGGCATTATTATAAGTTGCATAATTCGAGATTATCTTAGTCCAAGCCATGCAGTTTGATCGTATCAGGCCGTTGGTGATTGGTGAAGGAGTTGAACTTCCTTTTCGGGTGTTTTTATCTTTTAAATGATATTTGTTTCCTTAATTAAGTAATTAATATGCCGTGGTGCAATTGCTTACGTCGTAATCCGTTATCGGTTCCAATGATAAATGTTTAAGTGATCATGTATGTCTGCTCATTAATACTCGAAAACACGCATCATGTATATTGACCTTATAATATATATTAAGACAGTTAGGTTTTAGTTAAACGGTCATCACCTATACATACATACATACATACATATATATATATATATATATCCTCAATCAATAACAAGCAGCTCAAGAAATTTGGTCATGTCTTGATCATCTCATTTGAATATAATTTATTTCTTTTATGATATATGATAGGAAAGTTAACTTCTCCAATAAGTTCCATTCAATGATGGAATACTAGCTAGTAGAGAATACAGATCAGTTAAAGCTTTTACTTTCCTATACGTTAGATAGTACACCTTCCCCTTTTGTTTTACACGTTCACGAATTTATTAACTTTAGTTTGCCAAACAATTCTGTTAGCTTAACTACCCAAAGACAAAGAAAGGGGTATGTGTTTGGACTCATGATGTTTGAACTGGAAAAATTAGTAAGCTTTGTTGTTATTGTTGTTGCCCCAACCAACATTGGTCAATATAAATATAAATATCATACTCTCATTGGTTAATATTATCGAAGAAACCATGCACTAAATAAAGATTAAACCAGAAATGAGAATTAAGTAGTGATCGTGATCGTTTTAAGAAGGGGATTGGGGTGATGATGATGATGTACTTAGAAATGATCACCAAATTAATATAAATATGCTATGTATGCAGGTCAATAATCACATGAAATTAAATTAAAGAGATCTAGTAATGAGAACTAATTGAGCTTCAACTTCCGTTTTTCACGTTGTAACTTATTAATTACTAAGTGCAGGTAATACACAGACATATATATATATATATATATGACTAAAGATCGTATCTAATGAATTATGAGATGAAAGGATGTACAACAACAGCATAGTCATACATATATATATATATATATATATGTATGACTATGCTGTTGTTGTACATCCTTTCATCTCATAATTCATTAGATACGATCTTTAGTCATATATATATATATATATATATATATGACTAAAGATCGTATCTAATGAATTATGAGATGAAAGGATGTACAACAACAGCATAGTCATACATATATATATATATATATATATGTATGTAGGTGCAGAGTGGTTTGTCCACCAAACAACAAGGAATTAGATCACCAATTAAAATTTAAAAGTCGAGTCAAGTCAGAACCTCCCATTAATTACCCACGCGAGCACGGCGGAATCTTCTTATTCTTCATCCCTTTCCTTGCCCTTTCTCATTTCTTCTCTACTTGGACGTCTAACAATTTTTATATCTATATATGTAAACTATATATATATATATGTCGTCATAATTTATCATGATTCCTATACTTTGTTCATGATTTGGACTTTTTTAATCCGACGACGCATGCCCTCGCCCCAATATCATGTATAAATTAATAAACCACATCAAATCAAACACATACAAGTTTCCTCTTAATTAATTTTGCCGCTATATGTATACGCGTCCCTAATCCCAAAATAACTAACGACATCACCATGTTTCCGTTATTCGGTTACTACTACCACCACTATTCGTCGTCCTCTTGGTTCATCTTGATGTTCCTCCTGATTAGTTTGTTACTTCCTTGCTCTCCAGTCAGGCTCATCCCGCCGTCCGACCAAATCCCATATTCCCAATCAGTCATAACTACCTCCGACGACCCCCCCAGAAACGCCACGTGGCACGACTTCACGAGGTTCCTAGACGCCGTCAAGGGCAGCCACGTCTCCGGCATGTCCAACCTGAAGGAGTACTTCCGCCGCTTCGGCTATCTCTCCCTCTCCGACACCAATTTCACGGATAATTTCGACAACCAATTCGAATCCGCTGTCCTCCTTTACCAAACCAATCTCGGTTTACCGGTCACCGGAAAGCTCGACTCCGATACTATAACCGCAATCATGTCGCCAAGGTGCGGCCTAAGCGACGATCACATGGCGGCGGCGAGTGCTGATCACGGCCGGCTGCACGGCACGCGCCACTACGCCTACTTCTACGGTCGGCCGAGGTGGCAGCGCGCTTCGCCGATGACGCTCTCCTACGCCTTCTCTCCGAATAACGTCGTCAAGTACCTGAGCCTAACGGACATCCGCTCCGTGTTCAGACGCTCCTTCTCGAGATGGTCGGCGGTGATCCCCGTTAACTTCAGGGAGACGGAGGAGTATTCCTCGGCGAACATAAAGATAGGGTTCTACAGGGGGGATCACGGGGACGGAGAGCCGTTCGACGGGGTGTTGGGAGTGCTGGCCCACGCTTTCTCGCCGGAGAACGGGCGGTTCCACCTGGACGCGGCGGAGTCGTGGGCGGTTGATTTAGAATCGGAAAAGTCAAAAGCAGCCATTGACTTGGAGTCGGTGGCGACGCACGAGATTGGGCACGTACTTGGGCTGGGTCATTCGTCCGTAAAAGAAGCGGTGATGTATCCAAGTTTGAGTCCGAGGACTAAGAAGGTTGACCTCAAGATTGACGACGTTCGAGGTGTTCAATCCCTGTACGGCTCCAACCCTAACTTCAAGATCAGCTCTTTGTTCCATCGGTCTTCTCAGAATTCTAATTACAACAACCAATCCTTTTCTCCTACTACCAAGCCTATGATCCCCATTTGGATCAATATTTGTTTTTCCTTTTTCCTTTTTCATATGTTTTTCTACCCACTCCACTCCTACTAATTAGTATACTATTATTTATTTTTGTTTTCCCAAATCATTCTTTTTTTTTTTTACTCACTCAAGGAAAACAAAGTACTGTCAATTCGATACATATATGCTCATCAAATTGAAGAAAGTAAAAGATCAAATTCTTTCTCTACTTCTGATGATGGTTTGATCTTTTTTCTTTTTCTTTTTTTCTTTTTGGTTAATTTAGGACGTATTATAATGTGCTTGCTTTCAATATTCTGTTTTATTCCTTAATTGATTTTGTATAGTAAAATTTGTACGTAGTACTATTACTGTAAGTTGATCCTTTCAAATTAAAGAAAAGAAAAAGTAAACCAAAAGTTGGGCACGAAACAAGTCAAGTGAGCATTAATGAGAGCCCTCAAAAGGGGGCACCGATCAAAGTGGACACGAAAGAGGTCAATGAGTAAATCAACAAAATGGAGATTAAATTAATTATATCCTTACCTACCCGATTACCAAGTACTAATTTCATATTTTTTTAAATTTGGTTGCCAAAGAAGAAGAAGAAGAAGAAGTACAAGAAGAATATTATGCTTATCCTGAATTTTGGGTACAACCAAGGTATCACTTACTATACAAGATAAATATATAAGTAAGTATATTCCATCTCTTCCACAATTAGTTATCTACAAACAATTAATGCAAATGAAGAAGAAAACTAATATGTCACGGCACACATTCATACATACATATATATATATATATATATATATATATATATATAAGATAAGAAGCAGTTTTGAAGTCTCGTCTTATGATACAAAGGTAAGACTTTTACGTCAATTAAAAGTGGAGAGAGAAGATTCAAAGAAACATGAATTAATGGTTTGGAAAACATCCCAATCAAACTAATTTGACCTAACCCCTAAAACTACATACGAAATATTTCCAAAAATATCTTCAACGCAGATTATTCAAGTTTGCTTTACATGTTATTTCTCTAATTCGATAATAAATTAAATAAGCACTTAAGCACACATATCCTATGTATCTTTTGTCTAAACCCCCCTAGTTTGGTCATTTATTAATTACGTAGTATTTAATTACCGCCACAAAGTGTGTTGTGTGTAGTGTTAGTGTACTATATATAATGTACTATTTTTGTCATTCTCTCCGCTTATTGTTTGACACGTGGACTCTATTAACATGATTTATTATTATTTAAATAAAAATGAGATAGTATAACTTACATGTCAAACAATAAATAGAGACAATGACATAAAGAGTGTCCTTAGTATTTCTCTTCTTATATTTTTTATATTTTGATTTTAAAGCTGACATTTGACGTTTGTGGTTATATATGGATATGGTCAAGGGCGTGAAAGAGACGCAACATTTTCTATAATGATTATTTAGATGAAATAAATAAACACTTGAAAATTGCAACTTGCTTTTTTTTCGTGGCATGCTTCTCTCACACTATCTACAATAGTTTCCTTTTCATTTGTTTATTTATTCATTTATTTATTTTGCTGCCCAACTATGGCACGGCTTATGCATAGATGATAATAACATTTTTGAAAGTAGTTTAAATTTATCAATGAAACTTCGGTTCCTTGTTATCCACACGTGTTTTGGATTTGGATGTCAACAATACATTAATAACTTCCCACGACATTTAAGCATTTTGTCAGTATCTAGATTTTCAATTAGCTTAGAACTCAGAAGGCGTGAATCATGTGTAGGCCATGACTAAATCATAAAAAGGCCTATTAATTTGTGTACATTGCTAAATGAGTTATTCACTAACATAAGTTTTAAAGGTAGACATATTTTTTACAATTTTTCAGTAATTAATTAAAGGAGACATGTGGCTTAATTATGTTTGCGGAATTAAAATATGGGTGCAGTTTATATATATTTTACATATGACTTAAAGGCACATGTGTGAAGGCATTATTGACCTTGATAATGATATTGTTGATTTGAATTTATTGCATAAATCAATTCAATTGTATAATTTTTACTTAAAAATAATAATTAAAACCTTGAGAAAACAAAGAAAGTAGCATTGCAGATCTACTTTCCCTTAATCGATCGGTACTTGCTTTTGTTTCTCCCTGCTTTTAACGTTCACCTTCTCGCCTTTACCGCTCTTTTTTATTTATTTATTTATTTATCTATTTTTTTAATATATTAAGCACTCATCAAACTTAAACACTTTAGGGTAAGTATTATGTTTCCTTAGAATAAGCAAGAAATCATATGTCTGGTACAAAATTTTGGCCATCATTTCTGCACTCAAGAATAGCCTGGTAACTTAAGTTGCTCCTTTCCCTCAGCTGGAATTGATCATACGTACGTGAGACATGTGTGCTGTTTTCTATTTTGGAGGTGGGCCGTGGGCGCTGTCCTCTATGCTTCAGCCTTCATGTCTCGTTTAAAAAGTTGTTTCTTGTCTCTTTGTTGTCGGACTCTCTCTCTCTCTCTCTCTCTCTCTCTCTCTCTCTCTCTCTCTCTCTCTCTCTAGCTAGCCATGTTTGGTTATGATTCGAGTTCTCTGGTCCTTAGAATAGTTTAGTTTGCATTCAAAGAAAGAATGTGTTGAACTGTTCTGATCCAAATTACTCTGTGTTGATTCAGAGCTTTGGTTTGCCAGTTCCAAGGTGACTTGCATCTTGCAAGCAGGCTGTCATTATGAAGAGAAGCTTTTTGCAAGAATGAGAGAGAACGATGGTTGAGATTCCGGCATTTTTGGGCCCGTTCACTTCATGTATCCCACTCGAATTGAATTTTGGGTTGCGTTTTACGTTCATTAACCAAAACTCGAGTGTGAAACTCGAGTAATAACTCTGATTTCAGAGTTTGGCACACCACTCGTTTTTCCATTACTGCAGTGTGCTTCTACAGTGTTTTCATGTGCTTGAACAGTGCAGATTCCTGATTTCTTCCCGTTGCTGCCTCGTTCCTGCCTCCCCAGTGCATATTTCTCTATGCTTTTTGCCCGCTGGACCCTGGTTCCTGCCTCCCCCTTCTAATTTCACTCTGAAAAAAGCTATTGTCTGCAGATTTTTAGAGTGAAAATTGACTCTCTCCATTGGGGGAAGGTTACTCGAATCGGTTACTTTGTCGATCCGCAGCGAAAAAAGGTAAACCTCTCCCCTATTTCCACCATTTTTGCTTCGATTTCTTGTTGCATGCCCAACCCTAGAAGTGTTCCCCGCCCCTGCCCTTGAATCTTCATCACGGATACCATTCATCCGCCTCGATGCAACCGGCAAACTCCATTGGCCGTCTTATTGCGTCGATGTAGAGTCAAACGGAAGAATCTTGCATCTACTGGTTATCTTCCGTTGAGAGGTTACCATCGGCGGTTCCGGTGTCAAGCCGTCGTACGCGCTGCCTCACGATCGCGTTTGGGGGTTTTGATAGACGATAAGCCTTTGTCCTCAACTGGTTCCAACCGGGTATGATATTTCACAACTACTAATCTCCTATATACCATTATTTGTTCTGGATTTGTCATGATCGCACCGTAGTTCTTCTTCGTTTTCACTGATTTGATGCTGAGATATTGGTTGTCGTTTGCATTGTGATGGAAACGTGAGACATATTCCTTGTCGTTTGTATTGTGATGCTAATGTGTAGTGAGACCACTGTTGTCGTTCGCAGTCACGATGTTCTCTTACTTGTTGTCGTATTGCCTCAACTGTTGTCGTTTGTCCCTGTGGCTATTGCATCCCCTGTTCTCGTATTGCCTTGGCTGTTGTCGTTTTTACCTTAGCTTGTTTATTCCCCTGTTGTCGTATTGTCTATCCTATTGCCGTTTTACCTTAGATTATTGCCTACCCTGTTGTCGTATTGGCTGTCCTGTGGCCATTTTTACCTTTAGCTTATTGCCTCCCTTGTTGTCGTATTGTCTCTCCTGTTGCCATTTATACATAAGCTTATTACCTACCCTGTTGTCGTATTGGCTGTCCTATGGCCGTTTTTACCTTAGATTATTGCCTCCCTTGCTATCGTATTGGCTTTCCTGTTGCCGTTTATATCTTAGCTTATTACCTGCCTCCCCTGTTGTCGTATACTATCTCCACTGCCGTTTATACCTTAGCTTATGGCATCCCCTATTGTCGTATATTCTCTCCATTACCGTTTTTACCTTAGGTTATGGCATCTCCTATTGTTGTACTGGCTCTGCTGTTGCCGTTTTTACCTTAGCTTATGGCATCTCCCATTGTTGTACTTGCTGTGCTGTTGCCGTTTTTACCTAGCTTATTGCCTCCCCCTGTGGATGTATTGGCTCTGCTGTTGCTGTTTTTACCTTAGCTTATGGACTCTCTTATTGTTGTATTGGCTATCCTGTTGCCGTTTTTACATTAGCTTATTGCCTCCCCTGTGGATCTACTGCCTCTGCTGTTAGTGTATTGACTCCCCTATGGTTGTATCGCACATGACCGCTTAACAAACAGGTAATGTTGGCAATGATGAAATTGGTTCAAAAATTAGAACACTCGTCGTAGTGGCGTCCTGTAGGCAATGTGACAGTTAGTTATCGCTTCATTGGAATTTATCGAGTGCCTCTGAAGCATGGCAGCTACGTCACTCCTGCTTATAAGGATGATGCTCCGAGTGTTGTTGCGATTTCTCAGCTACAAAATTTCTGAGCCAGTAATAACATTGCCTCACTTGTTACATGTATAAACCAGGTAATAGTACGTTGGTTAATGGCAGTGATGTTCGAAAAATGTTCGGAGCCATTTATAACTGTGTCTAGTCGTTAGATTGTTTCAAATATCTGACTCACGCGTACGGCCATTCTTCTTGTGCGTCGTTACGCTTCTTTCTTTCCTATTTTTAGATGCCGAGAGGGAAACCCGACGATGAAGCCACTCTACACTGGACTGAAAGGCAGAAAGAGGAGTTGCTTATGCGACTCGCTGCCTACAATCGTGATGCCAACGGTCGAAAACCGGATTCTAAAACATGGGAGGATTGGGCGCAACATCTTCAACAGTTCTTTAAGGATCAAGTCACCCCTGCCAAAGTGCAGCAGATGAAAGTCCGACTCAAAGCCAAGTTTGACCATGAGCTTACATTACGCAATAACACAGGACTTGGCTGGGACCCTGTTACCGGTGCTGTGACATGCACTGATGAATATTGGGAAGATTTTGCCAAGGTAAACGTCTAAACAATTATTGTTCTATGGGTAGTCAATTCTTGCAATATTTTGCCAAGGTCATTTTGTTTGCTCATTCATATGCAGAACAAGAAATGGGCAAAATCGGCAAAGAATCAGCCTCTTAAAAATTGGGACTTGTACTATGAGGCCTTTGGTGGTACGAGGGCAAGTGGGGCATTTGAGAAGGGATTGGATAATCCAACGAACATAGATGAGGGTCCAGTACACATCTCCGACGAAGAAAGGGCGACATCTGATGAGGGTGGCAGCGAAGATGGTTTCATTGCCTCCATGCGGGCCGGTTTGAACAATGCAGCTAGAGGTCTCAACATTGCGTCGTCCTCGAAAGCGATCGGCAAGAAACCAGCCAAGTCCTCACATAAGGTAATATGTGACCCTGTAGCGAGGGATTTAATCGGCAAGCTTGTCTCTTCTATTGAAAGCAAGCGTAGTAGTCGCACTAAAAGCTCTAGTGCGAATCAAGCTGCGCCTATTGTCGATCTCCAGGACCAATGCCAGGGCATAGTTAGGGAAATGGCGCTTGATGATGAAACCGCAATAATGTTTTTGGAGGCTATTGCTTGGTATCCAAATATGCAGAAGCTGTTCGTGGGAATGAGTGATACTCAACGTAACTTCTTCGTGACAAGAACAATCAGTATGTCTAGGACTCAATCACATGGACCTTTCTCAAACCCCCATGCCTCTACGGGGACACAGTTTATGCCGCCACAATTTCCCAACTTCATGTCACAACCCAGCAGCTATATGCAACCGGCTCCCTTCTATGGCCAACAACCCACCAACAATATGCCACGGCCCCCAAACTTTGGGGGACAACAACCTGTCCCACCATTTCCTACAAATCCCCAAAACTACAATCCCCAACAACCGGCTGCGTATAATCCCCAAACACCATACTACATGCCTCACTTTCCGCCGCAACCGGGACACTTTGGTGGCGATGGCAGTCCAGACCAGCATTGAGTTCCATAAAATATTGTTTTTACCATTGTCTGTATTCATACGATTGAACATCATTTCTCATTTTTAGATTTCAACATAGTATTTGAGTAGACTTTGCTAATTATGTTTACTACGGCCCTGCTGGTGTTGTATTGATTATGGTTATTGAGTTGCATTGCGCAGAACAATATTTATTGATGTACTATGTGTAGTCACCTTTACTTGCGGATCAAATGACCATTTCATATATATTCGTTTGTTATCCTTTCATTATGCATGTCTCGCAGGTAGCAATGTGGAATGCAGGTCCCTCAAACCACGTTCCTGAAAATGATGATAGTGACGACTCAGATGACGATTATGAGATTGCGGCAGTAGCAGTAGTTTTGTGGTATTACTACACATACATGGAAAGACCCCTGCCTCAACCAAAGCATACATCCGCACTCACAGGTATAATGCGTGTTCAATACCTACTTGATGGACATGAGGACGTTATTAGGTCGAAGATTAGAATGGGAAGTGATTGTTTCAAGCGTCTTAGTACGTTACTTGAGCTTAAAGGGCTTTTAAGACCGACTAGGAATATGAATGTGCACGAGCAACTTTTTATTTTTCTATACATTGTATGTCAAAGTTCAAACAACAGGGAGTCACAAGATCAATGGCAGCATTCGGGTGCTACCATTTCAAAGTACTTCCACGCTGTTTTGAAGGCGTTGTATGAGCTCCGTTTTAACTTCCTTACACCACCAAACTTCGACATTATCGATCCTGTCGTAGCCGCGCGTGGAAACAAGTATCTGCCATGGTTCCAGGTATTTTTTCTAAACTAATTACTCTTTAAGATAAATATGTAGAATTGCGTTGTTGTGTATGGTAATTAGTTACTACGTAGAATTGTGTTGGCGCTCTGGATGGTACTCACGTACCATGTGTTCCACCCGCTGCAAATGCTGAGGTATGGAGAAATCGGAAGGGGTTCTTCTCTCAAAATGTATTAGGAGTCTGTTCGTTCGACATGAGGTTCACATACATGTTAGCTGGATGGGAGGGCTCTGCTCATGATGCACGTGTGCTTGCATCCGCAACAGAAACGAGGGAAAAAAATTTCCCTACTCCACCAGAAGGTATGTGTAAGCTTGATCTTTCATTACTTTTCGAAAACTACACGTTTGTGCTTCCATGTGGAACTAATACATTCACGTAATATATTCTAACGCACACAACAGGTAAATATTACCTCGTCGACTCTGGGTACGCAAACAATGATTGTTTCTTGGCACCGTACCGAGGGAGCACTTACCACCTTCAAGAGTATCGGGCAAGGAGGGGTCGGCCCCAAACTCAGCGTGAGCTATTCAATTACACTCATTCTTCCCTCAGAAACTGTATCGAGCGCACATTCGGCGTCTGGAAAGCCAGGTTTCGTATTCTTAAGTGCATTAATAACTACCCGATACAGACACAAATAGATATTCCACTTGTTTGTGCTATTCTACACAACTTCATACATATGTACAACCACAACGATGATCTACTAACCCAATACATGAGAGACGCCATTCCGGTAGCAGAAATTGATCCACTCAACACAGAGCAAGATGTGAATCAAAATCACAATCCTGATCGGGGAAGCCAACAACATCAAAACCGTCCACACCGACGACAAATGCACATTTTAAGGGATGAAATAGCTAATAGTATGTGGGCTGCATATGAGAACAACCGGCGTTGATAGATTAGTTTTTCTGTATTACTTGGTTGAGAACAACCGGCGTTGATAGATTAGTTTTTCTGTATTACTTGGTTGCCTTTATAATTGCCCTCCCCAGATTGTTATATATATATATGTTATATATATATATATACATTTATATATATATATATTCTTATGAAGAACAGAAATGCATGCCAATGTGGGAAATGCACCATGTTCACGTTTTTTACATAACAGAAATGCATGCCAATGTTGAAATTAATTAGAGTTTGGCATTTGTGCAAGTGAACACAAAACTCAAGTTTCAAAAGTTAAATAGTCAACACCTAAACACTAAACTCCAAATTTCAAATTACACTCAACTTTTTTGAAACTCGAATCTAGTTTTTTAACTCGAATCATAAAATTTGAGTTAGTGAAGTGAACGGGCCCAAATGAGATTCCAATTTTAATTCGTTGGACATAGGAAATTCTGCTCGAGTCTCGAGAGACAAGGCCTAAGTTGTGCTGTGCAAAACTCTTTTTTTTATTATTTTTTTATTATTGTTTTATTTTTGTATTATTGTTGTTATCCTTTCCTTGGAAAGGAAAGAAAGTGACATAACTCCTCCAATTCCCAGGACTCAACTTTGAAATTAGTAGCATCATCTGAAGACTAAATTTGGGACAACATTTTCAACCTCAATCCAACTGCAAGCAGCTTCTTTCCAAATCGTCTCGTCTCTTGTCAGCTCCCTTACTGCCTTAACATCATCCCAATTTCCATAAGACGCGCATATGTTGGAAATAACAATGTACGCATAACCCTTGTCACCCTCAAACTCTATCACTTTCGCAGCTGCAATCTTTGCAACCTCCAAATCTTTACAACCTACGCAAGCGCCCAGCAAAGCTCTCCAAACCAACGCAGAAGCCCCAAAACCTAGCTCATATATCAACTTCTCTGCCTTCCTTAACTCCCCTTTCTGTCCCATTAGCCGGATCATACAACGACAGTGTTCAACGGTTGGTTCAATCCCATAATCCTTGATCATTAATTCAAAATACCGAAATGCGGTTTCTAATGGTATTTGATTATGTGAACACGCTGATAAAACATTAAGAAATGTGATTTCGTCAGGTTTTACACCCCCCTCCATCTGTAGCTGCTCAAAAAGGTCGATCACTCTTGAAAATTTTCCGTTGTGAGCAAAGCCAGAGACCATGGCATTCCAAGTGACCAAATTCCTTTCTTTTAGTGCTTGGAAAATTGATTCCGCATTCTTTACCTCCCCACATTTCGAGTACATATCAATTAGGGCGCTTCCCACAACAACTGACGCATCCAAACCGCCTTTTATTGCACAGCAATGGATCAGCATTCCCCATGTTACTGCTGAAAGGCCTGCAACTCCACTTAAAATGCTTGAAAAAGTAAACTGCTCCATTTCAATGTTCTTTGAGTGCATTTTACATAAGATATCCAGAGCTCCTCTGGCTTGGTTCCTGTTTACATATCCCGTTATGATAGAATTCCATGAAGATGAATTCGGGTTTGGCATATTTGACAAAATCTTGATTGCTTCTCCCATCTCTCCAAACTGAGCAAAGCCACTAATCAGCTCATTATATGAGATTGTATCGGGGTTTGGCATCTGCTCTAAAAACCAAACTGCTGGTTTTAAGCATCCATTTCTTGCGCACGCTGCGATTGCTGAGTTCCATGAAATCAGGTCCTTATCAACCATCTCATCGAACATATGGATTGCCTCTTCAACAGACCCACATTTCCCATACATGTCGATCAAGCAGTTTGAAACAACAACGCTACTTTCTACGCCTAATTTCACAACCTCCGAGTGAATAGACCGCCCTAGCCGCAAGAAGCTTAGCCGGCCACAAGCGGCCAAAGCAGCCGTCAAGGAATACGAGTCTGCGGAAATATCAGACCTTTCAAGCTGGAGAAACGCGAACAATGCTTTACGCGAGTGACCGCAGCGCAAGAACCCGGAAATCATAGAGTTCCAAGAGACAACACTTGGTTGAGACATATCAACAAGCACTTTGTGGGCATCATCTGGCGAAGGACCTCCCACGTAGAAACGAATCAGGGCAGTTGAAATAGCGACATCGGAGGAGAACCCAGATCGTAGAATGTAGCCATGAAGCTGATAAGAAAATAAATCAGAGCGGAGGTTGGTTGAAGCTCGCAGGAGGTGGAGCAAAGCGTACACACTTGGTTTGGCGCTCCGCCATGACTCACGAGCTTCCCTCTGGAGATGGGCAGTTGCGGTTCTACTTTTGTTGTGGTTGGAAACATCGGAGGTAAAGCATTTTCGAAAACATGTACGAGGCTGCTTCTGTTGTAGTTGCAGGTGCCTGAGGATACTCTTGAGAGGAGATCTTTGCATGGATTTGCAAATAAATCTCCGTAATATCACACCGCCTTGACGTTTAGTTTACTGCCAATAAAAAAGTTGATTTTTTTTAATCGTTTTTGTTTCAAGAAAGGGTTATTAACACTCTGAATTTTTACAAATTGCGCTATAAATTTTTTTGATTTCTGACAATTTTGATCCCTAACGTTAAAATTGACAAAAAATTTCTGAAATTTAACAGGAAAAATCATGTTTTAATAGTTAGATAATTTTCCATAAGTCACAATGCATCAACTCGTCGTACACAAACTTCATGGTTGGTGCTTTTGTGTTTCTTAAGTGGGAGAGAAATATAATTAAAAATAGGCTTTTGCCATGGTTCCTCTAGTAGGATCATAATTTCCCTGTAGTATAGAAAAGTGAAAAAGTATAAAGAGGTTAATAACTCAAAATCATCTTAACATTTTCTTATAAACAATATAAAGTTAAGAATGAAGTATATAGTGCTAAAATATTCCCGTTTGGTTGGTGGATTCTAGATTATGATCCGAAGTCATGTGCAAGAATTTATGTTTGGATTCACAAAGTCATGCATTGGGTTAGAATGAGGTCTAGATTATGATCCGGAGTCATGTGCAAGAATCTATGTTTGGATTCACAAAGTCATGCATTGGGTTAAAATGAGGATTTGAGTTCCCAGTCACTTTTTGGGTCCTAATTCAAAATCAGGTCCTCCCCTGATTTAGCCCAAAAAAGAACCGTTGCACAGTGAACGACACTGTTCCCTCGAGTAATGACCCCTACCCAGCTCGACCGACTTTGCCAGAGAACCACCCTGCCTTCTTCCTCATTGAACAAATACAAAAAACCTTCATCTGTGTTTGGTGTTCTGCCGGCGGTGTCGTTCATCTCGTCCTCAGAGTTGAATGCTGTAACGGTATGTGATCTTCACATTATTCACATCTGTATGGTAATATCATCAGATCGATTGGGATATTTTGTGGGTGATTTTCAGGAAGGCATGGCAGTAGTACCACCCGATACTGCCAATGAAATTAGGGATTAGGGTTTCTGTTAATGGAGTTGCTATCAGTAGAATATAGGGCTTTTGTGAATGAAATTTGTAGCAATAGCTGATAGCACGAAATTTTTCAAGTTTTTGTCAATTTTTTTTCGCAGCCCAGTACTTCTTGGCGTTTATGTGCTATGTAAAAGTGAGTGAGTGAGTGTTAAATTTTACTGCTTTGCATTATGTTGACAGATGCTTTGATAATATACTGTAATACTTTGATTCTGTATACTTTGTGTAAACAATCTGAGGTAAGAACAACCGTTCTAGGAAACAGAAATGAGAAAGAATATGAGATAATTATCTCATTTGTATGATTCTGTAATACTTTTGTGTAAAGAATTTGAGGTAGGAAAAAATGTTCATAGAAATTTTTGTCTGTGTTGGTTTTGCTCTTCAAGGATCTATCTCTTGAAGGTTTGATGTTCATTGCAGTGGTGCCTTTGTTTTCTTTAGATTACTAATAACTAATGCCTGCCTTTGTTTTCTTTAGATTACTAATAACTAATGCCTCACGCATAGCTGAAACAGAATCTGCTCAATAATACCAGTATCCAAAATAACATTTAAGTCTAAGGTTAGCAAAGTGATGTTCATAAGGGGAAAAGTACTAGACTAGACTTGAGATTAACCAACACCTGATTTAAGAAGAGTGAAATGAGAATTACATCAGCACTGAGACCTGTCTTTCTTGCATCCCTCTTCCGACATATAATTCAGTCTATGTGATAAGAACAAATATTTCTTGGCTTTGCTTCTACCTTAAAAAATGCTTACATTCGTAGATTATCAGAGGAAACAAAGTTGATACAGAGGAAAATAATAGAGTATGAATAAGAATATGACTATTGTATGGAGTGAGTTCTAAAATTGGTGATTGATTTTTTCTCTAATGTATTGCTTTGCTTCCAGAGTTTTTTTTTTTTTTTTTTTTTTTTTTTTCCTGTTTTGGCTTGTATGGTGCGGTGGCTGCTTGTATCTCATGTTGTTGCTTGTGATGTTTTATGGTGGTTCTCTTTGCAAACTGTTCTTGTAAGTCCTGCCCTGTTATATGCACGCATTGTCTTCCTTTTGGTTGTCATATGCGTTTGTAGATGCTTAGGAAAAACGCGGATGAGAGGCCGTTATATTAGAGCACCGCTGCAGAAGCGTTTCTACTTGAGCGTCTGTCCGAATACCATGGCGCAAACCACGTGAAGCAACTGGAATCTCGTGACTACAACCAATGGGCTATTCAGATGGCCACTTTTTTTTATGACTACGTACCAGACGGTGAGCGGCTGAGGGAGAAACGCCACTGACTTGGTAAGGTTTACGTAGCTTACATAATGTTGCAAAACCATACAAGAGTTGGTTGGGATCCTATCAGTAAAAGTTTCACATGCTCGGAGAATCTGCAAAAAGATCTTTGCAAGGTAATATGTGTGATTCATTAGTCGCCTCTTCATTCATAAAAATGCAAGTGATTAACTTTGGTAAGTAAGTGAAAGGAAAGTTAACATTTTTTATTGTTTTGCTAGAGGAACCGTGAAGCAAACACACTGTTCAGTCACGGTTGAAAGCTGAATGAGATGTTCTTGACCACCATTTTCACCAGTCGAGTTGTTGCTTCTGGTGCAGGTGCATATCACCCTGCCGCGGAATAAGAGCCATTGGACGGTGCACCCTCCAATGAGGTTGGCGCTGGGGATGAAGAACCACAACACAATCAAAATGCTCCCTACCAAAACAGTGATGATGAAGAGGTTCGTATTGAGTTTGGCCACTGCGTGGAACGCGTTGGAATGTGAAATAAGACCAATGTCGCCTCTTCTTCACGAGTGATCTGCAAGAAACAGGGAAGGGGCCGCAAATCAGCTGACAGTATGCGGGAGGATCTACTTGACATGGTTAGGGACATGCGTGATGATTTGTGAGGAGATATTCGTTCAAGCAAAGAGAGCCTGTCGAATAACAACACCGTCAATGGACCAAGTGAAGTGAGTTCATATCATCGTCGTTGGTGTAAATGGGAATTGATCCGCTTACGCAAGCCCATGCGTATGAAAAAATAATGGCTTCTGCTGCATGGCATCCAGTTTGGGGCACGCTCGATGATCCGATGAGGAGGGCATTCTTAAATGACTTCGTTGAAGTGCCACAAACTCCATTGGTTTACTAGGTTCCTAATCCTTATAGTCAGCCTCCGCAAAACTTCTCTCAAGTGCCAAATTCGTACAATCAGCCGCCAAACCACTTTGGACAGCAAACACAATCCTTCAATCAGCCGCCAAACCTATATAACCAGCCACCTAATCCATACAACCACCCCCCAAATCCATTTACCCGTCCATCAACTCCGTAAATGTAATGGAAGATTGTTCTTCTTTTACATTTAAGTCACCTTAGATGGTCAATTTTCCCCATATATTTTACCACAGATTAGTCTTTTTTTACATTTGAGTTTGTTTTAAATGTACTGTGATGTATAATGCTTTATTTGACAACGGATTAGTGTAGCAAACTATCATTTAAGTGTTTGATATGTGTTATTAGACATCGAGTTACCAAACTCTGTATTTGTGTTTTCATTATCGCACAAGACTCTATTTGTGTTTTACATGTACTATGACTCTGTATAACTCATTATTTATGCAATGGAATTTTGTCTCTTCTTCCCCCATTTTTTTTTTTTTTTTGTTTCTGAAAGAAATTATTTAAAGTTAGTTTATAAACCTAAAATAGTTAGAATATAATGGATTGATGTGCATTTTCCCCCTTGCCATTTATTGTATATGATCATTTTTCTGCATTAATAAATTTCACAAACGTTAAGTAAACATGGAGTCATTTTCTCCTTGCCATTTATTCTGTCTAATCATAATCATCCATTTACACGATTCTCAATCTCGATTTTTCTTTCTATAAAATAAATAAATTATGCAAAATGGATTGTAGTTATTAGGTGGAGTATAAAAGGATGCTCTATCGTCCAAAACATAAACTAAATATAGCCCACTGCCCTTTAGAAAGAAATTGCTACCAAAAAAGAAAAATCCAGACAGAGATGATGTAATCTAGGGGTTGAAAAAAAAAAAAAAAAAAAAAAAAAAAAAAAACCTAGAAGGGAGGGATAGAGAGACAATCTAGGCTATGTTGTTTGTCATCAAAGTTTAGGAGGAGAGATCGAAAAAATTTAGCTAGCAAGGGAGAGAGAAAGAAAGAGAGAAAAGAGAGAAAAACGACGTTCATGAGAAGGTAATCTAAAATGTTTTGTTCCTTAAAAGAGTCAAAAAGTTGAAAAGGAAAAAGGCAAATTAAAGAGGCTGGTTGATATCTAAAAAAAAGCTACACCATTTTTTTCTTTTACAAGGAAAACGTTACACCATCAACCATTTGACGAGAAGATGAAAAAGAAAGAAGATGATTCATCAGTAGTTATTGTTTACATTTGACAAAATCATCACTTTCGCAATCATCAATCCTGGATTGGGTTGAGAGGAAAACAACAACAACAGCAGCAGCAGCAGCAGCAGCAGCAGCAGCAGCAGCAACAAGGAACAACAACAAGTTGTGCAGGTTGAAGGTGGGGGAAAGAATGAAGAGGGATCGCGTAATAGAAGATGTGACCATAATCGGAGGGTTAATTGGAGTTCAGTTTGTGTATGCAGGCAATTCCGTATTGCTTAGTCATCTCATGTCTCTTGGCCTTAACCCTTTCACCATTATCATCTTCTCTACTTTTGCCACTTTCCTCATTCTCTCCCCCATCGCTCTCTATTTTGAGAGGTATTTTTCTCTTTCTTTCATCAATATTTCTTTTATATATATATATATTGTTTTTCGTCTCATCTCTATTCTCTATTCTCCACTCTCTAAATCATTATGCACAATTGCACATGCATTGTTTCCTTCACAGGAGTAAATGGCCCAAGAAATTCAGCTTCAAGCTCATCATTCAGCTTGTCCTCATATCCTCTGGAGGGTACAATTTTCATTTTGTTTTTCCATTGAAATTTACATGTATGACTTTATATAGAACATTAACAACCATTATTAAAACAAATCTCATATCTATATAATATATATATATATATATAGTTCCTTTTTGGTGCTTATAATTTAATTGTATATTGGGTTGGAAGAATTTACAAAGAGGAGTATAAAGAGCCTTTGATGCCCTGCAAGAGAGGCATAGCAATCATTGGTTGTTTATTTTGCAGAGTAACTCTGTTCCAGTCTCTATTGCTGAAGGGAATCAAGCTAACTTCACCAGCAATGGCAACAGCAATGCCGAACCTCGCTCCGGGCCTTATTTTTGTAATTGCGTGGACCTTAAGGTGACGTTACGACGTTATGTTACCTTGTCTTTGAAGATGATTTAATTGGTGTCATGACTGATCACCAGACAAAAAATGGTGGGCAGATTAGAGAAAGTGAAACTGAGTTGCAAATACAGCAAAGTGAAGATAGTGGGGACAATGGTGTGCGTGGGAGGGGCTTTGACAATGAGCATAATGCACAGCGCTACAACTGCAACAACCGCAACCAGCCTCATCACATCCACTCCCCCAACAACTCATGATGTTTTCTTCGATAAACACAAGTTCATCGGCTGCTTATATCTCCTCGCTGCTGTCTTCGTTTTGTCCACAAATGTTGTTTTGCAGGTATTTAGTATCCAAGCTTCCTCTTTGTGTTTTTGTTTTTGTGTTTTCTTCCTTTATATATTTATGTATGTACAGGCCGCAACGTTGGGGGAATTTCCAGCACCAATGTCGTTGTGCGCCATAACATCTTTGATCGGCATGTTTGTCACGGCGGCTGTGCAATTTCTCCAAGACCACCGGGTGGAGACCGGTTGGCCACTTCTCAGCATTTCCGACTTGATTGGATTCTCTCTCCTGGCAAGTTCCTATACTAATATGAAAGCCTTTCATTACAATGCATTTGAAAAAGAATGAATGAATGAAAATGCATATGCAGGGAGGGACAGTAAGCGGAGCATGCGTGAGCTTCAACGGATGGGCCATGAAGAAAAGAGGGCCGGTTTTGGTCTCCATGTTTAGTCCCATTGGCACTCTCTGCTCCGTCCTCCTCTCTCTTTTCACTCTTGGAGATGCCATTAGTCTCGGAAGGTACTTGCCTTTTTTTTTTTTTTTTTTTTTTTTTTTTTTCCTTTTTTTTTTTTTTTTTTTTTTTTTTTTTCTCCTATTGATTGTTGTTTTGTTTTGAGCTACTGGGGAAAGCAATTTTAGTTCCAGTGTAATTGCTCCTTATCTTGTCCATCAGCAATCCAAATTGTTGAAGAAGAAAAGAAGTTACGAGTTTTGATGATAACATTATAATCCATGTTTGGTAATTGTGCTATTAATTCCCCTTATGTCGCACGCGCAGCCTTGCGGGCATGTTCCTCATGTTTACGGGGCTGTATTTCGTGCTATGGGCAAAAGGCAAAGAGGGTAACAATGGCAGCGACGACGACGGTGATGGCGATGGCGATGGCTTTGCAAGTGAGTTCGACACAGAGAAGCCTCTCTTAAGTTGATATGTATGATATTTCACCTCATGAGTCATGATACAATGTTTGTTTAGTTTTGCTTCTCAACTTCTTCTTTTGTTTTGTTTTTTTTTTTTTTGGGCAGAAAAATGATGGTGTGGGTCCACCCTTAAGGGCTGTTTTCTTTTTTCCATGGACTGCTCCTAAACCATAGGGATGAGATGAGGTTTGCTAATCATTTGCAGTTTTTCTTGTTGCCATCGGAAACAAGAATATGGAGTTGACCAAGAGAAGTGAGGGTAGGAGTACTTGAGGAAATTTTGGAATGCTTATTGTGTTATTTGCACAAAATGTTGCTAACGTGTCGATAGGAACAATCCTCTTTACCAATCAACTGTTTTAGGCTTCTTCTACACCATAACCATGTCTAGGTTTCTAACTTCTTCTTCAAGGATCAGTATAGTGTAACCTTTGCAATTGCAGTTACTTTTTCTTCCTGTTTTCATTATGACATCTCTTGAATTTTGTCACTCCCTCTTTTTTGGTTGCCAATTTGGTGGCAGTGATTGTGAGCACCGCCTCAATTACTTATGATAGATTTTTAAGGCATCGCCTAACTTCCCACACGTGGACTTGAGTTCATGAATGCGTTTTTAGTTTAATGGATTAGCGATGAAAGGGGGAATTAGTTGGTAAAATTGGCGGGTAATGTATAGTAACACACAACACATTCACTTGTTTACGTGTTTAATAATTTGATTATAATTGTTTATGCAGAAACGTGGTTGTAAATGTTGGGGGCAAGTATTCCACCACAATCCACGATCTTATTTACGAGCGCAAATTTATATATTCACAATAATATCGATGTATATATTTTCCTCAGTTTTCGTTAGTTATCGTCTGTAGTTTCTAAAAATAGAAAAATAAATTATCAAAAAAATTACAACTGTAAGGTATATTTATGTAATTATCCCATAAATGCTAATTTGTTTTTTTATGACAATGCAAAATCTATGTTCACTTGGCTCAAACTCTTATGATTTTAACCCTTTTATCCAATATCATTCTCTCTAACAACACTACATTCTTCCAAGTAGAAGAACAATTTTCTACATCGTACAAAAAGAACGTTTGCAAAACCTTTTTTTTTTTTTTGCGGCTCCATTTTATTCAAGAGACCAAAAAAAAAAAAAAAAAAAAAAAAAAAAAAAAAAAAAAACTTTGCTTAATATGTTTTCTGAGCATAATTGGATACAAACTATCAAACGTCTTTCCGCAAATGCATATTAACTCGTGAATCAAAGGCAGAAATATTCTCTCGTGACATCCATTTCTTCAAAAAAAGCTTTTCTATTGAGGAAAATTTTATATTGGTATCTTATATTTTAACATAATTTTCTTTTAATATCTTGTGTTTTTAATAATTTTAAAGTGGTACATCGATGTTTTAAAAAATTATTTTTTAGTATTTTAAGGTTACTTTTTGGAATATAAAATGTTAAAGGTACCTTTCTAATTAATTAACCAAAAACTAAATAATAAATTTAGAAAAAATCTAAATAGTTTTTCAAATATTTAAAAATTAAAATTAAAAATAATTCATTAAATTAAAAATAATTTTCAGAATTTTATTGAAATTTTTTAATTTTTAGTAAGTAATAAGAATGATAAATTTAACATTTTACATCTAAAAAAGACCTCAAAGTATTAAAAAATATTTTTTTAAAACGACAAGATAATAATTTAAAATTATTAAAAACATACGATATTAAAAAATAATTATATTAAAACACAAAATTCTAATATGAAATTTTCCTTTTCTATTTCTATTGTAATAAAATAACAATCATGTTATTTATTTGTTTATTCATCTTCGTTTTCTATTCGGTGTTTAAAGTACGGCGAAGGAAATGGGCCAACAGCAAGCCCAAAATGGGGCCGACCCGGTTGCTTATCCAGAGTTAGGGGAGAGGACCACCGACCACCCAAACCCAAAAATAAATAAATAAATAAAACTCAAAGTCGTAGCCAAGTAATCATAGGAAAATAAATAAATAAACTATAATTCACCCCTGAAGGCAGTAGCAGTAGCACCCCTGAAGGCCGAAACAAACTCAGTTCGGCCCCGTTTATTTCGTTGATTTGAGTTTAGAATTCGAGTTTTTTTATAGTAAAAAGCTCTCACAAATAATCACATCTAACTTTTTTACTACAGTAAAAAGCTCTCACATAAAGTCACATCTCAACTCGAATTAAAAACTCGAATCAGCGAACTAAACGGGTTCGTTAATTTAAATTTTATTATAATAAAAAATTTTCACATAAAATTATATTTTAATTTAAATTAAAATTTTAAAAATAAACGTTTAGTTCATAAATTAAAATTATTATTTTTTATTTACGTGTATTTTTTATAAAAAAAAATACTATAATGAATCATAAATAATAATTCAAATAAGAGAACCAATATAAATACTAAACATCCTCTAACGAGAGCTCTGATGAAAGCTCTCTCTCTCTCTCTCATTTCTTTGACCTTGACAAAGCCAAGCAAGCGCGTGCTATTTAATTTCTTATTTCCTATTCAACAAAAAAAGAAAAAAAAAAGTTTATAGTAAACACGAGAATTTGGGAATGAGAAATTGTGTAAATAAGGAGGGTCCGGTGGAGTCCAGGTGAGAGTGAAAGAGAGAGCGTGGGCAGGAAAAGTAGGAAGAGAGGAGCTGTTAGAGTTAAGAGCACAGCTTCCCTCGCGCTCAGGTCCGACGCGATTCGCGAGACCCAGATCGTTTCCAGCCTCGATGATCTGAGCCCCATTCCACGCCGGCCACCAGCGAAATCAATCGCCAAATCCCAACTCGTGAAACATGCGCCGAGAAGGTGTGGGGAAGGGAGGTTGCGTCCGTGACAAGGAGTCAGGCGCGAAGTGGCTGCTGAGTGCAGTAGCAGCGGTCAAACTTCAAGGGGAGCTTGCCAATGAGGGCAGAGAATCACATGGAGTATCACAGATTTGTAATGAAAAGGCTTTCTCTAACAAAGCTGCTCTTATGAAATCCATTGGAAAAACAAAATGTAATAAGAAGCTTTGGTCCTATTCTGTGTGAATTTGACTGCTCGTTCTAGTCAAAGAACTTGTTTTTTGAGGGAAGGAAAATAACTTGTTGATCCTGTTATTGGCCGAGAAAATGAAGTTCATAGAATTATTAGATTATGGATTAATTTCAAAAATTTTCTTTTTAACATTTTGTCTCCTTTATATTACAATGAATGATAAAATTATCACGTGTCACTTAATTAGTGAGAATTGAAAGCGTAATTACATTTATACCTTTTTAATCAGATAATTTTTTATTTTATTAAAAAAATTCACCATCTTCATCCCTTATTTTTCTTTTTTTCCTTATTTTATTCCTCATCTTCGTACAATCATAACTCTGCACAAAAACTTCACCTCCACCATCACCATCACCACCACCACTTAGTTCTACTCCACTAGTGAGTTCACCACCACCACCTAGTTCAACTCCGCCAGTGAGTTCACCTCCACCGCTGTCATCCAACCCACCTACGAATTCCCCACCTCCACCATTGCCAAAACCACCCAAAAATTCACCTCCACCACCATCACCAACGGTACCTAAGAGTTCACCCTCGCCCCTGACATCTTCGCCACCGCAAGTTCTCCTTCACCTTAGCCAATTTCTATTTTCCCTGAAGAATCACCTCCTCCATCAGCATCAATACCTTCCAAGAATGCACCCTCACCTCCTAGGATTACTCCTCTCATTCCATCAGGTTCTAATCTAACGGCGGAGATTACGCTGTAGCCTAGCAAATAGGTCATGTTAATTTACTAAATTTTCTTTCTTTAATGCTTGAAAGGGTTGTTGTAGGTTAATTTACGATAATACTCTCCTCATATAGGTCATGTGCCTGACACGTAATGAATTTCGTTACTCATTGTAACAAAAGGAGAAAACTTGTTAACGGAACAAAGTTGGGGAGGAACGGATGTTACTTTTTAAAGTTCGGGGGGCAAAGTGTTAAAATGGTTATAGTTCGGGGGGAATTTTTGAAATTAATTTTTAGATTGTTTGTCGACAAACTAAAAATTACCCAATGTTGAATTGAATCAAAACCAGGTAAAATCACGAGAATTGCAAATATTTACAATAGAAATATCCATAAGGGAAACTCTGTGTAGTGAATCTAGCGATCGAGAAGAAATAAATGTCTTTCTTTTTTTAATTTTCAAATGATTTAAATTATTTTCAAAATTTCCTCAAAATTTATTAATTTTTAGTTAATTAAATAGAATGGCACTAAGATCATTTAATATCTTAAAAATCAGTTTCAGGATGTCAATAAGATATTTTAAAAAATAGTGAGTTATTATTTTAATATTATTAAAAATACAGTACTAAAAAGCATGCCAAAAATGATTTGATTTTATCCCATTTAGTTATTACTCTCTTATATATGTGTGTGACTATTTCAAACCTCATTACTTCACTACCATTATAACAATTATAAGTTCCTTTTCAATTTCCATCCAATTAATCCCTTTAACATGTTATAATAGGAGCTAGCTACAACCTACAAGGTATACATGTTGTGTACTCAAAACCATATTATAATATGAGCTACAACCCTACAACCTTCTTCATAGGTTTGTGGAGTTTGGAGAGTGTGGTTGTGATGCAGGACACGAAATGCGCATGATAACGCTCTATCAAATTCATCAGGTAAGTAGTCGACTGTTACAGTTGGAGTTCATGGAACCACCGACTAATATGCATATGAAAAAGTAATTAACATATAATCTTATTCTTTTTTAATTTAATTTAATTATTTATTCTAAAATCTTAGGATGTCACTCCAAGTCCAGCTAGCTACTTCTCTCACATTCTCACCATAAACAAAATTGGGTTTCGTTTGTAGTTTCAAGTAAAACTGTGAAATTAGACCACTTTCACCAGGTGGATCATTTTCCAGGTAGCACCAGTGTTCACATACAATGGTAGCATTAGTATAGAGTGCAGTTTTCACGTACACTAGTAGTCTTACACTTGTTTTAATCATAATCATAAATTGGATTCAAATCTTCAAAAAAGAAAGGGGGAGAAAAGGGTCTCCCTTAGTTGAAGTTATCTCCAATTCAAAAAGAAAAATACGGAGGAGTTATGGCCTTCCAAAAAATTAAAAAAAAGAAAAGAAAAAAGAGAGTTGTGAAGAGTGAAGAGAAAAAGAAAAGGTGTTTGAGAAAGCAGGGTCAGCTTACTACATACTTCATTAATGCGGCCATACAATGTTGAGATCTGAGATATTACATTTAAAAAATGTATATATTAACAGATCATGTCACGCAATGTGGTGGGTGTGTGTGGCATGAAAACTGAAAAGGGACCAACAAAAGGAGGGCGCTCAATCATTTTAAATACAAAAATCATGTGTTGCAAAACTAACAAATTGCGGGCTCGTTTAGTTCGTTGATTCGAGTTAAAATGTGACTTTATATGAGAGTTTTTTACTGTAATAAAAAAGTTAGATGTGACTGTTTCTGGAGTTTTTTATTGTATCAAAACTCGAATTCTAAACTCGAATCGGTGAAATAAACGAGACATGCATTTTGGTCTTGAAAATAAGCAGCGGCGGAGCTGCATGGGGCTGAGTGGGGGCTACCGCCCCCACTCAATTTTTTTTGAAAAAAATATTATTTTAAAATTTTATACTTAAACCCTAATTAAAATAATATATACCCCCACTAAAATAAATATATTTTTTTTATATATTTCTATTAAAATAACTAACTCGGCCGCTAAAAATTAAGTATAACACTTCCATCATGCTCTAATGTCTACTATACCTATTACCTCCGAGCAATGACTACTATTACCATTCACTATTGCCCTTCCCCTTAAAAAAAAAAGAAAAAAAAAACTATTTATCTTATCTTATCTTATTATTATAATAAGAATAGAATCTGACTTATAATACCCAAGCCGAAGCAATATTTCTAATTGTCAAATTTAGGTCTCATTTATTTCGTTGATTCAAGTTCAAAATTTGAGTTTTACTACAATGAAAAGCTTTCACAAATAATCACATTTAACTTTTTTACTACAGTAAAAAGTTTTTAAATAAAATCACATCTCAACTCGAATTAAAAACTCAAATTAACAAACTGAACAGCCTTACTAATTTATGGAATTCGGATGGTGTGGTAAATAATAATAGTAAAAGTTTTTTTTTTTTTTTTTTCCGAAATGCGCAAAAGGTCTGCATGTTACATGTCCTTAGTCACTCTCAAAGTGTTAGAATCAAACTAATAATATACTTTTTTTGGTTTCTCCATACAAAATACAAGTGTTTTACTTATTACAAATAATATTAAAATAATAAGATTATTGGGTAGTGTGTGTTGTGTGTTTCGGACCGGTGGAGGAATGCTTGTCACCTACTCCTTTTAACTTCCCGATCTCACCATGCTTCCCAAGGGACAAGCTTATTTGCTTTATTTTAGCTTTAGAGATATATATATGCTTTGATCAAGAGAGAGAGAGAGAGAGAGAGAGAGAGAGAGAGCCCAAAAGGGCCAAAACAAAAAATGCTTTGATCTGTGCTTGCTCCTTCCTTCCCTTCTCTCTTCTCATAACTGAGACTCTGTGTAAGTTGTAATCGCATTGATATATGATGGAGAAACACAGATGCAAGCTCTGCCTTCGAAGCTTCTCGAATGGCAGAGCTTTGGGAGGTCACATGAAGGCTCACTTGGCCGGTCTTCCTCTTCCCCCAAAGACTCCCCAACGCCAACAACAAAATCAACAAGAATCCCATGAAGAAGAAGAAGGACTTGAAAAGTCTTACGGGTTGAGAGAGAATCCCAAGAAGAGTTTGAGGTTTGCAGATCCTGAGTTGTCAAGTGGTTGTGGGTCCGTCATTCAGGACAGAGAGAGCGACACCGACTCCAAAACCAAAAACCCAACTCGACCGCGATCCAAGCGTAAGCGTACAACTCGGACAAAGCCGGCCACTTCAACTTCTCCCTGCACTACTCCCACGGTGAGTTCTTCAGTGTCTGATACTTGGCCCGAAGAGGATGTTGCCATTTCTCTCATGATGCTTTCCAGGGATGCTTGGATGGCAGACAATAATATTATTCATGACCACAAATCAGCTATATCTATGTCTACATCTATTATTATAAACAAGAAGAAGAAGAAGCAGAAGAAGAAGAAGAAGAATGGTGTGATTAGAAGGGCGAAGAATCGGTGCGACAAGTGCAGCAAAGTGTTTCGATCTTACCAAGCAATGTGTGGGCATTACAAGATTTGTTGTTATAGGAAATCAGAAGATTGTGATGGTGAGAAGATATTTGAATGCCCGTATTGTGACAAAGTGTTTGGGTCAGGACAGGCTTTGGGTGGTCACAAGAGATCTCACCAGATCACCTCAACAACCAATTCCAATTCAGTAGTCGAAGCAGTCAAGCAGCAGCAGCAACAGCATTTGGGTTTCATAGATCTCAACTTACCAGCTCCCTTCGATGATCAAGACGATTTTAGCGTTCTCTCTGATGCTTGATTGAATTCGTCGTCATCTTTATTAAACATTCTAAATGTTCCTTTTCCGATTTACCAAAAACTGTTTATTGTTTACAGTGGAAAAATCTCACAATTTTTTTTTTTTTTTTTTGCTTTTTTTTTTTATGCGAGTAACAGCACATTAGCATTACTACTCGAAATATGTCGAAAAAGTGTGGTCTTTTTTTTTTTTGTCTGTAGCTGGAAACTCGTCAAAAAGTGTTAAATCGTTCATAGCAAAAACTTCAAAGTGTTAAATTTTAGTAGAAGAAGATTTGCAGGCGGACATTGGGTTTGGTCACGGAAATTGCCAGTTGCAGTGATTGAAGCAAGAGATTTTTCTTTTTTACCCTTTTTTTTTAAAAAAAGTTTTTGGGGATTGGTTGCGGTTGGTCTCTCTGAAAGTACAAAGCGGTCATCAATTTCTTTCTTCTGTTTGTTAGGTTACAGCCAGCTGTTCCTGTAAACATCAAGCACATCTCTTTAAAATCGAACCCATTTATTATTATTATTATTATTATTATTATTTTACCATTTTGCTTTTGTTTGTCCCTTTCGTTCGTTCGTTCCATCTGTCTATCTATCTATAATCTATCTATCAAAAATCAAAGTCCATCAATGCTTAGAGTTGTTGTAGCGTGAAGCATAGAATCAAATGATTTGAGGAGGATCAAGTGTGAAGCAGACAGAAAGGAACAAAGAAAGAAACAAAGTGTTGATTACGGGAATGACAAAAATAACCTCGAAAGAAGCACCTAATTTCAGGTGAGGTTAAGTTCCTCCCTCCTAAGTCCTATCCCCGGCCAGGCCGCAGAAGTAGAAGATCCCAAATTTACACTCACTCCCCGTCTCATTGCTCATATCAATAATAATAATAATAATAATATCTAATCTGATCTGCCTTGGAATCAACGAAGTATCCGGGTAAAAGTAGGAGCTACTTCCCGCATTTCCAATTCTTACCGAAGAATCAGTCAGACTCGTAAATTAAATTAATTCCTCCCATTCTTGTCAAATTAAAAGTCATGCGTATGATAAATAAAATACTATCTTTATGTATGATCATATATGTCTATTAAAAAAAAACATAAACAAATATAATTCTTCATGATAATATTATTTAAAATGACAATCAATTATGATGGAACGATTATATTAACATTAAAAATGACAATCGTTTATTAACGTGTCTTTTAATATTTTTTATATAATTATTCATGTTAAATGTACATCTCATTTATTATTATATGTTTAAAAATGACTTTAAATTTTTAAAATAATAATTATTACGACTCAATATAAAAAAATTACGTTAAGTTTTTAATTGGTTACGATGGGTACATAGACCCGTTACGATGACATATGGGAGACTTGTTCTTCATTTTTAAACCGAAAGACTATAGACAACTCTTATTATTATTATTATTATTGTTAAATGCATATTTAATTTACACAATCATTAAAAACAATTTTCACATAAGAGTAGGGTCAGAAGGTTACTTTTTTTTTTTTTTTGAAAAAAAGGATTTGCATGTGATTTGTTGCTTCCTCATTAGTCATAAGAATAAGATAGATAAGATGTGCTTAAAACCGTGATTGTGATCACTGATCAGGACAGGACACTCTATCTGTCTCATGTCATGTGAAGATTCCCAAGCCCAACTCGCACAAATGTATCTTTCTACGGTTCTACCTTCCTTCACTTGTGTTTTGGTGACCAAAGGGACCAATTATTTATATGTTGTGTTTGCTTTGACCTAACGACTACTTGTGGCACGCCATTGAAAATTGTTAGTCTTTCGCTTTTACACCTTTATTCATTCTTCATTTCTAAATTTACTTTGCTTTAACACTTCACATTACATACTAATACTAGTACTAATTTATAAAAATTGGAGTCGTCATTTATTTTCATCACTCATTTCTCAAACTGTCTATGCCAGGCTTTTACACCTGTTTAAGGGGTAACACTCTTCACAATATTTTTTAATGTAAATTCATTATATTATAAATATAGAATTAAGATATACTCAATTGAAAACCGTTGGATTAGCATATTACAGTTGACTTTCTGTTTATCATGGGACCTCTCCTAGTAATTTTTCTAAGGTCCTCGTCACAAATTTATCTACACTTTCGATCCAACCCTCACCAACCATGTCAGTTTTTCTCCCTTCTTTTGTTTTTTGTTTTTTAATACATGCATCATACTTATATGTGCATATTACAACAAATCACAGTTGAAAACAATCATTGCACGGGCTGCATGATAATTTAATTAAAAAGAAGTATTATATATGTTGGTATGTATAATGTTTGTCACTAATTAAGTTTACTTTAATTATTATTATTTTTTTTTAAAAATACAACACGAGATTGAACCAGCAACCTCACTCAAAACTCCATTATACCCAAATTTTAAAGTGTCATTTGACGAAACGGTGTTAGGCACTTTAATCACTATTCTAGCAAATGTGGAAAGCATTTGTGTTTCATTTATAGGCAGTTTGGTGTCATGCAAATCATAATTTCAACATAACTCAAACTGTGTGGATATATGATTTGCCAATGTATAGTTTTTGTAAGCATGCTCCGGGGGTAGACTGTATAGTCCATGATATATATGTGGCATCATTTTTGTTTTCTTTGGAAAGTTGCTATGAAAACAGAGCGAAACGCGGACAAGGGGACACCAAATGTTATATGCTGTCTGCCAACTCAAACTGCACCTAATTAGTTATTACTATTTTCTGATTTGGAACCTGTACATATCTTGCTTTAAACGAAAAACAAATATGATAAAATAAAGAAAAAAAAAAGCTTCTTTTTTTTAGGAGTTTGTTGGATTTTGTGTTCGATTAACTCTTTACAATTTGATGAAAAAGCTTCAACTTCATCAGATTATACTGTACTTATGTGATTATGTTTGCCATAATACAAATAACTTAACCAAACTTACTAGAATCTTCAATTTAAGGTGTAGAATTCGAATCTACGGGATTACTTTCGATTGGCGAGGGAAAAAGAAAAAGAAAAAGAAAAAGAAAAAGAAAAAGTTTAACATATTAATTTTGGTTGCATTTGTTTGAGTGGTAAAAGAAGGGCCAAAAAGGTATTGTGTGAAGAAACTGACAGTAAAGCATATATTACTTGTGAGAAATGATTATGTGGAGAAAAAGCTTCAATATTCTTGACATTTCAAGACTCGCCTACGGCTGCAGGGAAGGTTGGCGACGTTCATATTGACCTCTTTTACTTCCTAAGCAATGTGATGTTGCCTAAGCCCAACAGTTTGCAGCGAAGTCAACGTTCGCATCTCTGACGGGCCAGTGCCTGATTGAACATACAACCACCAAAAACACTTCCTCAAATTCCAATTAATGACGGACCGCGAGCCTTCCGGTGAGTTTCACACCTCTTATATCTAAATCCACATTAATACCACACATGCTTCTACCCCATATGTCTGTCGCCACTGCAACAAGCAACAAAAATCTTTAGAATAGTTAAAACCTTCATTACAATACTCATGTGAATCTTAAAAGGTGCTCGGCACAATTTTGAGTGGGGATTCTTAGACTGTCTTTTTCTCATATGCGACAAAGAGCTTTTTCATTAGTTTTCCAACTTCATGAGAATTTTTTCTTTAGTTTTCTTTTACTTTATAAGAGCGCTTTGAGAGTCAATTCCTCATTCACTCGTTAATTAACCGTTTTGAGCATATATCATTTTGATCTTCTCACAATGAAGAATATAAATCCATATTGAGCCTTAAAATGGTACTTCAAAAAGAGTTTCCAACCCTTTTCTCCGGCAATAATTTGGTGACAAAGCTTCAACTTCATCATCTTACTCCCTATTTTTGTGATTACGTTTGCCATAATACAAATAGCCAAACCAGCCTTACTCTCATCTTCGATTTAAGCTATAAAATTAGAATCGACTGGATGACTCTGAATTTAGTGAGAAAAACTTTTAACTTACATTAATTTTGGTTACATTGTTTGAGTTGTACCAAAAAGGCGCTAAAGCGATAATTGTGCGAAGAAACTGACAGTAAAGCTAGGAATGACTAGCACTTTTCTTAGTTTACTTGGTGAGAAATGGTTAAGTGAAGTAAGCCTTGATTCACGCTGCAAGCATCATGATTCGGCGCCCCGTTTTATTATATTAGGCGCTCAAACAAATATTGCTCACTCAACTCATGGCACGCTACTACTAAACTAGTGCTTCACATGTGCATGAATGAAATGAGGGTTTAAATTTGAGGGCACAAAAACCAATCCCAATCGCATGCTTTCTCTTTAATTCAATTCTTGTTCCCACCACTTGAATAAACATTGCTTTTAACAACTGTTTGGACCAAGCCCTTTAGTTAATTGCTCATTTTAATTAATATAGTTTAGTGGTCAGGAGATGCTAATGAACGAATGGTGAATTTGAGGCTTGACTTGCATGAGAATTTATTTATTTATTTATTTATTTGGGCCACAATTGCCATATCTGACAGTTATTCATTCATGGTATATATATATATATATATATATATATCATATGCACATCTGCTTAGCATGCCAAACAATAATCATTTTGTACCTATATATGTTCAAGCTAGCTAACATCTTATTCAAACCTGGTTAATAGGTCGATTAATGAGTAGATTTTAACTAGAGAATATGGAAGGACAACATTTGAGTGACAATTCACAACTCACAATAGTTTTGAATGATTTGACCTTTTAACGAACACAGTGATCAATGAGTAGTCCTAATTAGGTTGTTCATGATAGCGTCTTTATGACTGGGAACCTGCTTTTTGCTTCTCCCTTTAAATAACGTATAAGCAAAAAATAAAAAATAAAAAAAATAAAAAAATAAAAATAAAAAAAGTAGTAAGTTATGAATGCTTCCAACAGGCAACCACAGCACCTGCTGCGGAAAGACGAGCTATGTGAGAGAGCGTTGAAATTGGAAGCATATGCTCTTCTTTGACTGCACAGAGAACAGGAACACAGGAAGAGAGAATATTAAACAAAATTATTTACAGTTTCTCAGTCGTTTGTGTAGGATTTTTGTTAGGTTGGCAA